TACGTATATTATGATTATTTTTCCAGTCATATCCAGCTATGCATTTCGAAGTCCAGTCAACCACCAATTGTAATAAGAAATTACGACAGTGTAATGTAGGAGTGAAATATTTGTAAACTGTACTACGGTGACGTTTACAAACGTTTATGATAATGGTATTGCACCAAAGGATGAAAAAAACCATATATTAGTGATTCTCTGTTTGAATATCCAGCATGTATATGCATTAAATCACTGGTCAGCCCATTCATCTTTAATTTCCTACATTTCTTTAATACAACTGCCTCAGGAACAAGTAGTTTTAGTAATCTCATCCACAATGAGTCGAAGTTCAATAAACATTATAAATGTTATATATTATAACTTTGGAACTGTAAATGATATTATTTAGACCTGTTATGTACTTGAAATACTGGTCATAACGTAAACATTGTTTATTTTTAAATATGAATTCGTGGTAGGGAAAAGTTTATATTCATATATCTCATTATATAGATACAAAAATATCCCTGAATTCGAGTTAGTCATACTTAATTAAAATACTATGATGTTTACAAAAGGGAAAGATGGTTATTCACTTATTTTAAAGAAAATAGCAAAGCGTGTAAATCAGACCAATTCTTAGTCAAAAACTCGCAACTATATATGTGTATAGAGCTTACTTGATTCAGAACTATTGATGACCCAAATATGTATTTCAATTTTGATGAATAATGATCATTTTGATGTTGGCGTTTTTTGAAGTGTGATAATAGTGTCTCATAATGTTATATTTTAAATACTTTCTTGCTTTTTGACATCAAAATTTTTCAAACTAACAAAATCACTACAATAAAACCTATGCAAACCAAAAGATGAAATGACAAAAGCAGACAAACTAAACATCATCTACAACTGCGAAAAACAATACATCGGACAAAGCGGACGCCCTCTTCATCTTGACCTGTATAAACATCAATTCATGGTCAAACGCCATGACATTTCCTCACTCATATCAATGCACGTGGACAACTGCGGACACACATTCGACTGGAAAATTGTGGAGATTTCGGATAGAGGCAATCCTGAAAACACTAGGGAATTTCTAGAAGCTTGGAACTCAGGTCAATTAGCAATCAACAAGCACATTGGAATCGATCCAATTTATCAACCAGTCAGGAAAATTATGCACAAACATAGGAACAAAAATCAAACAAATGGGAGATACAACCAAAAGAAAGAAGTAAACAATGACAGGTTTAAGGTCAACAAAAACAAATCAACATCGAGGTCTACCGAACAAGTAGTGAACCGCATGTGGAGAAATTCGAACACTTCACTTTTGCCTGAAGTTTTGTGCTGATGATGTTGTTCGGCAGAACGATGAAAGCTCCACAACCAAACCATACTGTTTAGAGAACAAAACCCCGTCAAAAAACGAGTGATTAGTGAATAATGAAGAAACTTCATATTCAACTTAAGTACCATAATCACACATTACTTAAAATAAAGTATTCATATGCCATTTAAACATTCTTTTAATTTGTGTAAATTATTGAGAGTCAAATAATTCTTATTTGAATAAACATTTATTTCTGGTTTTGATAACATAAATCTTTATCCTTACTCATTTGGTTTGGTCGATTGTGAGTAAAAATACATATTTGATAAGATTGAATAAAGAGTGAAATGTTCAGTTATATGAGTACGGTAAAAGTATTTTTAAAACTGAACTCTTTTTTTAACGAGTCTAGAATCTTATACTTACCACAAAAACGGATGTTCATACTTAAGATCTTAAACTTAATCATAAATATAGATTGCCTGAAAATTTCCAAACCTTAATTTTCCTCTTTATTTGTGAAAATTATAATTCGGCGATTTCATCCAATAAACGTGCTTGAATTTCTTCAGGGTAATAATCAAAATCAAAAATATCAAAGAATACATACTGCTTATATAATCACATTCATATGTTGGCTTTTGTATATAGGATAACACGAGTCAGTTAAATGATAGTCATGTAAAAGGTTTACAATGTGAAGAGAAATGGTTAAGTGATTGTATGTGTGAATGTATGTGTAGGTTTAGTTATTGAAAGTTGATATTAAGTGTTAATTTGTTTTATATGAAGTGAAAGTGCGAGTTGAAGATTGAAGCTGTTTTTAAACCGTCTTTGTGAATGTAAAATGTGAACCATCATATAAATAATTGTAGTGCTAAAATATCAAAATAACGAAGCATGTGAAATAAAAAGGTTGGATAGAGATAGGGTCAAATTACATGTTAATGAACATTTGCCATATGTTAGCTATTTGAATACCATCTTTTCTTTTCAGGCTGTTCTTATTAGCCCGTTTATACAACGCTTATGCTGTCAATCTTACCTTATGTGTGCCAAAACCTTTCTGAAGTATTTTGATCAATTCGAAATTCACCTTGTGCCCTGTTTCTAAAGCATGCAACGCCATCACCGACCTATTCTCAAGTTTCTGCAGATCAACCTAGGGTATAGGATCATTTTTTAAACATTGTTTGTGTTCCTCCAACCTCATAGACAACATTTTGTTATCCTTCCTTTGGAAACCTATCCTGGGATTCAGTAGTTTTTAATTCCATGATTAGCCAATTAATCACATGGTTTAAATATCCCAGCTAAGTAATTCTCTAGATTATATTTCGGCGAATTCGTAAGATCAACTACTGGTCTTAGTGGAGTATCGTTCCTGCGAATCTTTGTTTGTCCATAGAATCTACAAAGACCACAACTTTTTAGATATAGTATGAACCAAAATAATGGTCTTAGTTTTATCTTAACCGACCGCATAATTTTGCTATTTTCAGTCTTAAGTTTATTAAGTTTAGTCCGACATCTCGGTCCTCTAATTAATTTATATGAGTCATCTTTGAGATGTCTCCTGGCTTTTATCTCGCAGTCTGATTTGTTAATAATGACAGTCACGTTACCTTTATCCACTCTCTTAATGGTAATTGTATTATCATTTCTCAGCTATTTTAATGGATATAAATTATTTTTAGTTAGATTAGAATTGTGTAGTTTTTGATGTAATAAAGTGACCGCTATTTTATTCCTCAAATCATTCTCTGTTTCATCAGAAAAGAGATTTACAGGCATAATGTTGAGAAGTGATATTCGTGGCCCATTTATATTGAAATTAAAACCCTTTTAAGCAGAGACATCTCATGGGTACTTAGATTTCTATCTGATAAATTAATGCTCAGTTTGTTAATGTCCATCTGATGTGTTTGATTTATCTCCAGTCTGTTGAAATTTTTGGTTTGGTAGGTGTTTTTAAAATTTTCTAATCTGCCGCCATCTTGACGATTGATGATGAAAATATGCTCTGAGTTTAAAAATTCGCCTCCGATTGATTCTATTTTCTTCGATCTGATAACGAACGAAAAGTCATCAATGTTACTAATCCTTGAACTAAGTGACAGCAGATTCATAGTGGCTTCGTGAATATGGTCTCTAAAATGTTCTCGCAGCTGTGACCACTGCGCTTTGACAGAACAAATTGATTTTTCAAAAGATTTGATCAATAGATATTTTGGATGAACATTTTGTCTTAAACATTGGAGAATAAAAATTTTGTGATTGTACCACTTATGTAATTTCTTGTATAATTTAATTCGATTGCGAAATAATATTAGAACGAATAGTCTGACAGAAATTGAATAAGTTTAGAGAAAAGATTATTTGTAAAAGTTATGAATAAAATCATTGAGATTATTTCATATGTATACTTTGGGAGTTATTAACATGATTTTCTTTGCAAATCACCATATCGATGAAATTAAAAAAGTTTATATTCGGTAATAAATTGCTTTATATATTTTCATGTCATATGAAATTTTCATTAACTATGAAACAATAATCATTAACCGTACAAGAGTAAATTAAATGCTTATACGTTTTCGAGTGCCTGTTAGCAAGGACGACATTTTTCAAATATTTCAAACACACTTAATAACTGCCATCAGCATTCCATTCACCAGAAATACACAAGTGAATATTTTACAAATAAGGGTTTACTTACTTACACCTGTTACCCCTCGTGAAGAAGCATAGACGGCCCACTAGCATTTTCCATCCAACCCCGTCCTGGACAATCCTTTCTAGTTCTTTCCAGTTACTATTCATCCTTTTCATATCTGCTTCCGATCTTCGATGCAGTGTGTTCTTTAGTCTATGTCTTTTTCGTCTCCTTTCAGGATTGTGATGCAGTTTGATTTCTGCAATGTATGTTCTATTTACTTCCAACATCTTTTCCTAATTTCCTATTCAGTTGGAAGCTGATTTGTTCTCGAAATAAGGTTTTACACATCACCTACTCAGAATTTCATAGTAAGTTAAATGCACAACTGGATTCGTTTCAGGAAACTGAGTCCTAAATAGCAAAACAGTTTTAAAGCAGAGTTAAATACCAATGTTACCGATTCATTTTTATGTCTAAATTGATAGTGGTAATGATGCTGAAAGTTAAATGATTTTTACTGGAAAGAAAATGTATCTGCCTATTTGTATCATTCATTTTATTGACATATAGTCTTACATGAAATCTATGAATGAAAATTGTCTCCCAGGCTATTCAAACATTTAATTTAATTATTTTAAATCTACATAATCTGTAATTAACTCTTCTGCTTTATATAAGTTTTAACAAAAAACATGTTTATATTTGTGAATCGTAAAATATACTTTCATACTGATGGTAAATATTAAGTAGTACAGGAGTAAATACTCTTTTGTCTATTTTGTTGTTGAAATGAGAAGTGAATAAATCGAGATCCATACTTTGTGTGACGTAGAATTGATCGAAGAAAGATTTTAGAATATTTTTAACTAGTTACAGGTGAGATAATTTATTAAATTATAATCTATATTAATACAGTATTGTTTTGCTAAGAATCAACTTTATAGTATAGAATAAAGCACTTATCATTCTTGTCATAATCACACTAATCAGGTAAAACGTTTTCTTTTTCTTCTTCAACAGTTTATTAAAATTATTTGTAGCAGAAGTCCGTGATGTACGTGCAACGGCTGATTATTGGTCAAAGAAAACAACAAATTTAGAAAAATCTTATCATAATCTACATGGGAAAGTTAAAGATTATCGCTTTAATGCAAAACAAAGTGAAAATGAATATTTGAAAGCTATGGAAGAACGTGATTACTTTTTACAAAGTGTAAGTCTATCATTATAGATTGAAGACTGTATAAGCTTACAATTAGCAAGAATAATCACAATCACGAAAGAAGAGTTATGTTTCACGGTTTATGTGAGGAATATTTTTAAGGTAGGACATCATGAAAAGCAGGGAAATTTGTGATCTTATCACGTTTTGGTCATTATTATTGTAATTGGTGGATCTATTCAGCATTGTGTTTAGAGTAATACAGAATTGATAGCATAAACTATTTTAATAAGTATCTTTTGCCGAAAAAATAAATACAATCGATACCTGCATACATATATACATGAAATAGGTAATTAAACTACACGGAATTAAATGAAATTCCTTCAAGAATATAAGGATCTTTACAACAAAAATGTGTTTAAGAATACAATTTGTTGACTGAGTCAGCTCCTACGACCTATTCATCATACAGAATATTTGCTAGAAACAGTATCGTAGAGCCTTCATACCTTTGATTATGTGAATGGATTCTAATCTATCGGCGTCTCGTTCTGGTATAAGATATACAGGTCAAAAGATGTGGATGTAGTGGATCATTAGTATTTGATAAGATAATAATTTCCAGGATTTTGCAAGATTTTAAATATCTGCTCATAATGACTCTAAAATTGGGAAATTAGCTTACATACAATGATATCATCTGCATACCCAGCAAATGTGTTTTCCATAGAAGATGGTTAATCACTCAATAACAAAGATATAGGAAAAAGCGTAAGAACGATTCCTTGTGTCACATTTTTTTGAGTTAGTAAAGACGTTGTGCACTTTCGTCCAAATACTGTATACTGTTTTCCTCCAGAGAGGCCAGAACACAGATAGTTGGTAATTCAACTGTCGACGGTGACGCTGGCAAACTCGTTTTGTAGTAGTGGTTTCGGAAGAGAGCCGAAGGGAGATGTATAGTCTAAAAAGTGGGCACTGAACAAACCTCTTATTCTTTTCCGATCTGAACACTATGTCACGATGCAGATCAACACCAACGTGTAGGCCCGATATGGTCTTTTAAAACAGGTTGAAGTGGAAGTAGCAATAGGTTTTCCACTGTTTTGACGAAAGACGAAGCTATCAAAGTGTCTAAATTTTGCATTTTTATCACCAAATACATTCTTTTGTACTGAGATGATTTTCGTCACAATTTCGGCATAAAATTAGTTTAGAAAGATTCCTTAAAGATGCTCGTGAATACCATCACACAAATATTCAGCACATTTGGTTGAAAGGAGGCTATGTTCTGAACGTCGGAACGCGTCAAGTGACTGGAGACATTTTTGGATATCAGTTTAATGAAATTCAAAACACAACTCTTTTTCAATCGTGTGAGTATATGAAGTATAGCACCAGAAAATTGACGTACAAAAGACAAATTGAAGTCACAAATATTAAGCTGGCCATCGTCACTACTGAGTCACCCACCTGTAAACTCTTTAAAAAGTTTCCACATATTTGAAGAATTTCTTCAAAACAGGAGTTTCTGAATAAAATTAGAATTGAGTCATTTGAGTCATCAATGGAGTTTTTCTCTGTGTAGATTTTTTCTATTTCCTCTCGTAGTCGCTTTATTTGTTGAAATGTAGGTCGGTCTAAACTTACAAAAGTGGTCCCGTTGAGACACTAAGTTTGAAAGCAGAATTTAAGATAATATTTGATAACATCAGTATTTTCCAATAAGTCATTTATAAGTAAATCCCAGTTTGTTATACGAAATATGTTTTTTAGGTTTAGGATATTTTCTGTTGAGTGGTTACTGTATTTAAGTATCTTTGTCTGATGTAATAGTGTACTCTTTCTAAGATTGTCACATATTTTAAGTAGAACACGGATAATATGATGACCAGAACTAGACAATGGAGCACGTTTACGAGTCACATATATTCCCACATAATTAATGAAAATTAAGTCTAAATGAGCATCCGAACAAAAGAGAATATTGAGTAAATTTTGGTGACCTGGTGAAGTAAAATCACCACAAATAATTAAAAATGATCTTTTAAAGGCAGTAACAATAAATTTAGTAAATTCACCAACGAAAACGTATAATGCGCTGTCTGCAGTCAAACAAAATGAGATCGATATCAGTTCACATTTATAAATGTAGCGCCGCTGTAAACATACGTTTTCTTGTTTCGTGGTTGATCCTGACAATAGACAATGCAGTTTTGTAGTGATTCTAAACATTGTCATGTAAACTATTCTATCAGGATCCTTTATTCGTGATTACAACACAACTACGATAAACGTTTATACTTTATAAGAACTATAGTCCACCACGCTAATTAGTGTTTGACACTCGGAAGTTAGATATTCAGGAATAAATATCTGATTAACATCTGTTATTTTCAGTGTATATTGCTAGTCGATTTTACTAATGAACTTGGTATATTCTTATTTTTGATGTTTTTAAATGGTTTTAGAACAATCAACTTCAGTGTATACTTTAGTTATTACTATGTTGTAAATATCATATCTCACTAAAAGATATAGTTTTCTATATTCAATAACATTAAAAATTCAACAAAGAATCAATGTATAAAATAAACCAACAATACTGTATTAAAAATATTTAAAGTTGTTTAAATTAATGAGAAATTTTGAAATTTCACTGATAATTTATGCTATTCACCCAAGTATAAAATTATTTAAGAACTTTTTACAAACTCATTGTAAAATCTAATTTACATTTGTTCGAATGTTAAGGTCATTTATTTTGAATAAAGATTATACATTTACCTTAAAGTACTATCAATTATTTAATTAAAGTACATTATGTTTAATAATGTTCAATGTAACTATCATTTCCTCGAACTATCTTCTTTATCAAATATATAATCTAGATTTAAGATTTATATGACATAAAAAGAAATATGTAATTTTATCTATCTAAAGTTATACATTTGAATTCACAAACATTATTACAAATTGAGTGAGACATTTTCATTTTGTTTATCACAATTATTTTTATTACATTTTTTAAAAATGATTTTGTATTTAGTTTGAAATTAATGAAAAAAAATATTTTATATGAATTAAGATAATAACTTATGGTAATAATAACAAGAAAACAACATTTATGAGAACTACATAACTTATACCGTATTTATTACATTTCAAAGAAAACATTGGTCATACATTTACTGAATTAAAATATTAAGATGTGAAAAAAACACAAGATAATCACCAACATTGAAGAACAACGAAACAGGTGGGAAGAACACTTCAAAGAACTCTTGAATCGACCAGCTCCATTGAACCCACCCAACATCGAAGCTGCACGCACGGACCTCCCGATCGATATTGGCCCACCAACAATTGAAGAGATCAGCATGGGCATCAGACAAATCAAGTGTGGCAAAGCAGCAGGACCACACGACATTCCAGCAGATACTGGAAGCAAACGTAGCGGTAAATGTAAGGATACTCCACATTCTCTTCAGAAAGATTTGCGATGAGGAACGGGTACCAAAAGACTGGAAAGAAGGACTTCTAGTCAAAATACCAAAGAAAGGCGATCTCAGCAACTGTGACAACTACAGGGGAATCACTCTTCTCTCAATACCAGGAAAAGTCTTCAACAGGGTATTGTTAAACAGGATGAAGGACTCCGTAGACGCACAACTTCGAGACCAACAGGAAGGATTCCGTAAGGATAGATCGTGCACAGGCCAAATCGCAACTCTACGGATCATTGTGGAACAATCATTTGAATGGAATTCATCACTCTATATCAACTTCATTGACTACGAAAAAGCATTTGATAGCGTGGACAGAACAACCCTATGGAAGCTTCTTTGACACTACGGCGTGCCTCAGAAGATAGCCAATATTATACAGAATTCCTACGATGGATTAAACTGCAAAATCGTCCATGGAGGACAGTTGACAAAATCGTTCGAAGTAAAGACCGGTGTCAGGGAAGGTTGCTTACTTTCACCCTTTCTCCTTCTCCTGGTGATCGACTGGATCATGAAGACGTCAACATCTGAAGGGAAGCGCGGAATACAGTGGACAGCTAGGATGCAACTGGATGATCTAGACTTCGCAGATGATCTGGCTCTTCTATCGCACACACATCAACAAATGCAGGAGAAGACGGCCAGTGTAGCAGTAGGCTCAGCAGCAATAGGTCTCAATATACACAAAACGAAAAGCAAGATTCTCCGATGCAACACAACAAGCACCAATTCAATCACAATTGACGGAGAAGCTTTGGAAGATGTAAAAACCTTTACATATTTGGGCAGTATCATCGATGAACACGGTGGATCCGATGCAGATGTGAAGTCACGGATTGACAAAGCATGAGCAGCATATTTACAACTGAGGAACATCTGGAACTCAAAACAATTGGCAACCAACATCAAGGTCAGAATTTTTAATACAAATGTGAAGACAGTTCTACTGTATGGGGCGGAAACTTGGAAAACTACGAAATCCATCATCCAGAAGATACAGGTGTTTATTAACAGTTGTCTACGCGAAATGCTTTGGATCCATTGGTCAAGCACTATCTGCAGCAACCTACTGTGGGAGAGAACAAATCAAATCCCAGTGGAGGAAGAAATCAGGAAGAAGCGCTGGAAGTGGTTAGGACACACGTTGAAGAAAGCACCGAACTGCGTCATAAAACAAGCCCTCACATGGAATCCTCAAGGCCGAAGGAGGAAAGGAAGACCAAAGAACACATTACGTTGAGAAATGGAGATAGACAAGAGAAAAATGAACAAGAATTGAATGGAACTAGAAAAGAAGGCCCAAGACAGAGTGGGTTGGGGAATACTGGTCGGCGGCCTATGCTCCATTTGGAGTAACAGGCGTAAGTAAGTAAGTGAGTTATTATACATTTTCATATGGCTGAGAATTTAACATTTCTAATGAATTTTTATAAACCAATTTTACACAACATAGTAAAGGATGTTTTTAAACCAACTTTATGTATTATTTTAATTATGTATGTCTAGGTTGATAATTTTATATCTCATATAAATACTTCAACAGGTTATTGTTTTGCTCGAATAGTAGTTTAGTAATATGTTGATGTTAGTTGTTAGAAACTTAGTTACTGTATTTTTCAAATATGTATCGAATGTCTTAACTTCTACAATAAAGTACCTTGACATGATAAAGTAATACCTTAATTTGAAGATTCGAACCAGATAATTACAGGTAGCAGGTTTCTCGTTATACTAGGGAAACCTACATTTAGACATTGGACATTTGTAATAGTGTGAATTTCGTACCCTCAACTATTTCTCTCAAGTGCTTTCTTCTCTTTTAGATAACTCATGTGTCATGGTCAAAGCATATGGATAATTTTAAGCGTTGTTTGTTTATAAACCTAAGGGAAACATGCTATCTTATTGAATTAACATTACTACTTAAATACGACCAAGCTTCCTGTTGTTCCTGGCCTTTAAACGTCTGTTTGGCCAAACGACCCACGAAATTATTGAATCAAATGCATAGAAACATAAAAAAAATTTGATGATTGAGAAGTGTTCATTCAACGATAAAATTAATGAATAAAATATATTTCAAGATATAAATTTTTTATAGGTTTTCTGAACTCTGATTAGTGATTAGATTTTAAATAAGATTAACTTGTTAAAGTTTACCATTGATTTAATAGTAAGTTACTTTATGCAAGAAATTTATAAATGTTTCATGATCAAAATGTCATAATCCACATAAACGATTGTTATATACTTATAGAAACATATTAATTACCATTCTTCTATATGTAATAAGAAAGATCTCCTGATTATAACAATCATGGTATCATAAATATCTATCTTTATTAATTAATTAAATATAATAAAACTCGAAATTCTAATTGAATTTTCTTAAACAATTTTATTAAAAATATAGCTACGAGAATCAGAAACAAGGGAGCAAAATTTATCAAATTTACTTCAACGTGTTGAAGATGAATATAATACATTATCAAGAGATATAAGAATTTTAGAACGAGCACATGCTAAAAAAGATCGTCAATTACAAAATTTATTATTAGAAAAAAATGAACTTTCTAGAAAAATTATACATTTAGAATCAACATTGCATAAATTAAAAACTCGAGCAGAATATACATATCGACTAAAGTAAGAATAATGAATTTTATTGATATAAATAAAAAAAGATATTATTTATAAATGAATAATAAAATCAATTTTTGTATGTTTGTTTATATCAGAAATAATCAATATATTTCTTTTTTGATTTAATTTAGTCTTTTTATATCTGCGCCGTAACTACTACTTTCAATATTAGATTGTATTTTTTTTTTGGTTAATGTTACTGATTGTTGTGAATACTTGTTATCAAGTTTTAAAATATTCATTCCTCACACATAAACAAATTTTACAGATAGTAAAATAATAATGATCTATATTATTTTCATTTTGAAATGTAAGTACAGATAGTTTTTGCAAGGCTTGTTAAGTTAAGTAGGCGTGTTGTCAAATGATATGACAGGCGAATAAGAAATATACTTCAATTATGAGCTTTTACGTCAGCCGACACTTTATAATTTTAAGTCTGCTACAAACTATCACTAACGGTATCATTTAATCAATCTAAATCTTAATCTGTCTAATTTTTTTTTGAAAATACCGAATGATAAAGCATTCCTGGATAACATTGTAAGTAATGCCACTTTTTCTAATTCTAAGCTCAATGTAAATTGGAACATCTGAATCAATCTTATAAGTGTACAACAGTTCGAAAAATTTATTGATCATACCTAATTTTCTGGTAATGAACAGTTAAGGTTTCTATCTTTTGGGGATTATGCCTCATAATGTTTTACATGTACTTTGTTTGTAAAGTTGAAAATTACGTATATGGAGCATACTGGTAATTGTTCAAAGAAAGGAACCTATCAATAAAATATAGTTCAACTAACATTAATCATTACTTATGCCATCAGGACGAATTCAGTCTTTCTTGGGAGTTTTCTAGCTCATTTAAATCAGGAAAACGGTAAAGTAAGGAATAAATTCTGAGGAATCTGGATTAAAGCTTACTGTCTATATGTTACTTATCCCATAGTATCTAAACTAACATAAATTCTAAACTTATTACCAAGTGTCATTTTAATTTATTATATAATAAAGGATAAATCGATACATAATGAAATAATTATCAATGTAACACAACATCGCTCATATTCTGTAAGAATCATTTGTAATTGGTATTTTTGTGAAATACTGGATTTTTACATTTTTGTATAATTTTGTTCTTGGTCTGTGCAATTCATTTGGTTTTTTCTTCACTCCGATTTATTGTCAGACACTCATCTCATAAAGATGAACCCATAAGTCGACTTCATACCCAACTTGGCGATGAATCTGAATATGTACTAAGTGACTTCGGTTCATCAGATCGAAACCAAAAAATATACACAATGGCCGCATCAATAGATGAAAGACAGAATAAAAACACACTAATTGGTATTAATCAAAGTTTAGATGATTCTGATACGTATATACCACAAAAATCGGAATTATTCAAAGTCAGTGGATCAGTAGAATTATTAGATGGTAAAAAACAAAGCTATTTGTCCAACAAAAACATGTCAGACTCTTTAATAACTACAAAAATAAGTGAAAATAATATCAATACACAAGATCACAAGGATTCACTTGATGATCAAAATATTGGCTTGTCACCCACAACAATCGGTAATGATGAACAGATCCATCATCAATCAGAACATTCAATACAACATCGATCAGTTGAAAAAAGTATGGATGATTTATCGGATACTTTAGTAGATTTAAATAATTTAACTAGACAAGATGATATGGATGTTGAGATACAACCAAGAGATTTAACAAATAATTATCATAGAAAATGGAGTATTGCATCCGATTATCAATATTCTCCTAATCAGCATATTAAGTCATTAAAAAAAGATGCTTTATCAAATGAAGATGAATCATTAAAACATAGATCTCAAGTACAAGTTGTTGTTGGACGATCACCATCAACTGAAAAAAAACGAAGAGCAGTTCATACCAGTCATTCACATAAAAAGTATTCATATAAGAAAAGTAAGTTTAAAAACGTTAGCTGAAATTTTATTTAGGAAAAGTACTTTTTAAAATTTAACCAATGTTAATGCTACTTTACAAAACTGAATAAAATTTAAGTAAAGACTATCGCTATTGATTATTGCCGCGTTAGTCTGAAAAACCTGTGAAATCGGCAACATCTATTATGAGTTATTATTGTAGAATTTTTAGGCACTCTAGATGAAATGAGAGGATATATTAGCGAGAACTGGCTTTTATTAGTCCGGTGACAAACAGAAATTTCAGTAATATGCTTAACAATATTCAAGAGCCGTTCTAGCTTACTATTTATAATCGGATTGAGAATCTAGTCAACAATCACATTTTTTCTGTTTTGTAAATGTATCTGTAACATTTTATATTTACAGTAGTTTAATATTCTACTATATTACTCAAAAAGTAGTATGATTGTTAGTAAAAAGTAATTAAAATGAGTTGGTCTACAAATTGGGGATATAAAATAGTTCTCAATGTGCTGTGATTGTTATTATCCATAATGTTGTATTTAGCGCTTTTCTTTCCAAAGCAACCTTCATAATATTCCTTTGAGTACTAATACTAGGAATATCCCAGTAAGCAGAAAACTGGAGATCTTATTAATTGTAAATAGCTTTTCGAAGAATATTGGTTCATCCAATGTCACTGGTCAGAATGTTTGTTTTTTCTGTATTCTATAACTTAACAGGCAATAACACTTTTAAATACACACTGACTAATAATAGAGAAGTGAGGGAAAACTTATGCCATACTTTGATGACATGTATTGATTTTTATTTGGTTTAAAATTGTTTTAATTCTATCCTTTGACGTAATTATGTATCGTGATTCTTTTTATCCCAGTTTTTGATCAACCTGTATTACCATCTGTATTCAGTACTAACAGCCTTCGATTTAATAGACATCGTCCAGCATCAGTCTCTGGTTATTTGGATGAATGTGCATTAAACAGATCATACGATTTATACCCTGTACCATCTTCAGCTAGGCCAAGTACCAGTTTCGGACACTTACATAATTCTAAACGTTTAAAATCACTGGAAAGAGATTATTATACATCTTGTCAAAATTTAAGTACAAAACCTTACTCCACTGTGAAATTGAATCGTCAAGTAAATCGACAACCTCTTATTATTCACTCACATTCAGATCGTCGTTTAAGAGATATACAACATTCGAATTATTTACGTCATGGCAATCGCATGGATAACGAATATGAACGAATTTATTTTCCCCAGTCATATTCATCACATCATTTAAAAATTCCAGAAAAGGTAATGTGAGATTAAGATTTAATTTATAAAAATGAATGCTTTGATCAGTTTAATCAACTAAATCAAAAAGTCACTGAAACAAATTATAGAAATATCAAGATATTTCATGAAATCTTCCTCCTTCAGTTCTTCACTCTTAAAAAATCAGGCGTTTCCTAGTTATTTCAGTATTAGAAAAGGAAGATTTGTATGATTTGATTGTGAAATCCATCAGAGTATAAGTAAATTTATTAACTGAATTACAATTTTTTCCTTAGCTCAAATTTATTTTGTTTTTATGAAAAATAGTAAAAACTGCAAAAAAATTAAGCACCTTTCATGAATGTATACATATAGAAATAAAAGAAGCGTTTTCAAAAAGAAACGCTCAGTTTTTTATTCAACCATTGTAAAGTAACATTAGTTATGTTATATTTAATAATAATAATATTTACTTTAGAAAATAAACATTAGACGATATTATAAGTAAACATTTAATTAATAAACAGATATACAGTTTTAAAATTTATTTTTAAGATCAGTAGTAAATTATATTCAAATCAATAAGTTATGTAATAGTGTGACTAGATTTAAATTTGATTTTTCACAATTGTACAATAAAATTTTACTGAACATTGATAATTTATTTTGTTCAAAACTTGGTTTAATAATCTTTTGATCTATCCTTTCAGTAAATAGGATATGAATATTTAAAATACCGTTCTAAACGTTGTATCTAGTTAGAAGACATTTGCTTGTGTACACATGTATCATCCATGAAATTGAGCTATTTGTTAAGTTTTTATTTATGAAATTTATTCTTAAAATATTAAGTATCATATATCTTTGCAATTAAAATAAGTAATTTCAAAACTTTGATAAAAACTTTTAAGAATCCTTTTTCAACAATAAGAATGATAGTTAAACGCAAGATATTAAACAAGAAATGATATTTGTAAGAATACGAATGATTTATTGGGACTCAAACTATTTAATAGATAATTCACTTTGGACATTTTCAAAAAATGATTAAAATTAAAATTATTGAAGATAATTCTCCTATTTTCAGAGAAATCACTGGAAAAGTTTTCCATTACTATCAGACAGATGTCCTGTGCACACTAGTAAATATTAGTCTTCAAACAGTAGTCAACTCTTGACAAATACAATCCAAAAATTACTTATATTACCACATTGTAACGTAATGATATCGAACAACAAGTGAAATAGTAAGACAAAAAATAAGTCACATCAAGCTAATACAACACTTTTTTGAAGTTATTAGGTGAGATTAGCAGTTTTGTGAACATCATAGTTACAAGCTAAATAGTTCAGATCATGAGTATTAAGGAGTTTATGAAAGATTTCTTGCTAAGCAAGCTTCAGTCATACATAAATTACCACTATAGTTTATTAGGGTACATTTTAATACTATATATACCATTAACTAAGAGTTTAAATTGTCAATTTGTCTTACATTTCACCCGAAAGAGTTAATCATGACCTGGTTTCTTCATTTAGTTCACTATTTTAATTTAACGATAAAAAAGGTATAGAAAAAATATCACTTTGAGCAATCATACTATTAGTTATATAATAAGTAGTTATTCTCGCAAAATGCATACATAAAAGTGATTGTATTTGTATACAATGTTCATACGTACAATATACTTTTCTATGTATTTTTCCCTAATTTATTCACTTTACCTCATTTCAAGACAAATGTAATTTTATTTGCGGTAAAAGTGATATACTTTCTTATTTAAATAACATGTATATACATATATACATATGTATATGTGCAATAATATCATAGTTTAAAATAAATTATGAATGGTTTTCTTATGGATTATATCGCTTAGCAAAAGTATAGTATAATTACTATATATTGAAAATGAAATCATTAAATAATTTATTAGTCAAAATGTAACCCAATGAAATCAGTGATGATGTAATCTTAATATAAATTAAAAAGCCCAAATTTCAAGTTATTTCACTACTGTTAAGTATTTATTACTCAACTTTTTTTTCCTAAAAAAATAAAACTTTTCTTTAATACTATTTTTATTATTATTTATCATGAAAAATGGGAACGTGAACATTCGTGATGGTGGTGATGATGATGTTAATGCTGATAATTAATGATAAAATCTAATTTTTTTCATAAACTGAATGATCAATTATACAATAAAATTGATTTTTAACAATTGATTTTTGATATGAATATGAATATGAAAGGATGAATTGGTTTCAAGCCGATCATGCAACGATTTGAATATTTCTTATAAAAAAAGGTATAATGTAGTAAAATGCCAAAGCTGAAGCTATTCTAACTACATTTATTAACAGCATTAGTATTTGTGGTAACAGTAGTAATAGTATTAGTATTAGTAGTAGTGGTAGTAATAGTTGTTGTTGTGCTAGTAGATTTCCAGCATACAATAAATGATGTTTAGTCTTGTTCTGTTGATTCCAACTTGGTAAAAAAAACTTTATAATCGATATTCAAATTATCATGTTTTATATTTTCTTTCATGAAATCTATAGAGTGGATTTTTTAAAATGTAAACTAGAAGCTTCGTTCAAACAAATTTCATATACAACAGTCTTGTACTGTCACTAAAAGCCGGAAATCAGTGATAAACTAGTGTACATGAAATCTATTCGATAAGATATTTTTGAAAGAAAATCAAAATTAGAGTTTGTTTTTAATTTGACTGTTAAAACATGATATGAAAATAAGAAAAGCACATTCGTATAATTCATTTTTCACAACAATCCATTTTTCTAGCGTAATAGATAGTCTTTAGAGCATTCAAAATGGTGATTATTAATCTAAAAACGGTGGTCCAGTAGATATTCAATGCAGTTCTAAAATATTTTTTCATTGTGCACCATTTGATAATCGTTACATTTTAGTTTTGGACTCCTCAAAAGTTTGCACTTATAACTTCTTGTGAGATGAAACAGAATTATCAAGACTATTTATTTTCAAGAGTTACTTTCAGTTGATATTAAAGGTTTCCCATAGTGCTAAGAACTGTGGGTGCTTATATACACATTTATTCATACTCTATAATTCAAAATGTGAAATAAGGTATGGATCACTTTTCAAGCCATTTTATAAAAGCAATTATTGAAATAATATTGAGAAACGAGATTAGTATAATTAAAAATATTGGACCACTATCAAAACTTATTGATGGAGATTGATGATCGCGGTTATTTGTTCCTGACTTACTAGTTTCAGATAACATTTCATGGATAACAATTGTGTATCTTACATGACTCATATATGTTTACTTGATTCTCTGTGGTCTTATGGAAGGTCAGTTTGAACGTGTCAGAGTGGTTGTTCTGTTGTCTCTAAGAAGCCTTTACTAGCAGAATTCAACTTCGTAAGGTGTGCGGCAGTTATCCATCAAAGGCGATGTTAAACGGTTTATATTAACACCGTTGGGTGCTGACTCGGTGGTCTAGACGTTAAGCGTCCACTCTCAAGACCGAAGTTGAGAGGTTCGATTCCTACACATAATTCTGTGGATACAACTTGTTGAGGAGTCTCGTGCTAGAACAAAATGGTCTTACATTGTTTCAAGGTTTTTAGTAATGGTTCGAATTAAAGAATTATTCTAATTTGATTATGTCTCGTGGGCTATGAACCTAGTACTGCATTGTATTGAAATAAATAGAAAAACGAATAAACATAATATTAGTATGATACCTTAATTACAGTCAATAACTATTCATTTCCCTAAAAATTTTTCTTACTTGTTGTTGTATAACCTGGATGCAACATTAGACAACTTCGATGATTTATTAATGTAATAGTTAAATAATCTTTTTGTATATCTTACTTCAATGACTTATTAAAAATTCATAGTGTTATTTAATTTGCATGTCGTAACGTTTACACTGATTGACATATTAAATCTAAGTAATGACAGTTTGACTGGATATTTCAGTTCCTGTTTGTTTTATAGAGATACAGATAATTAATGAAAACATGTTAAGTTGTGCATCTTCAGACTATTAAACAATCTGAAGAAACGTTCATAATTATTTGTTTGTACTTAGTAAAACTACGGTTATCTTTTTAGTAGGTTGAACGTAAACCTTCTATGTAATGTCTCAGCCAAGTATCAGGACGAAATAAAGCACAGAATCACTTCAGCTATCCTAAGGTCGATATATAGAATATGTGACAAGCAGAATAATGTAACAGTATAAAGTGACGATTAATGTTTTTACCTAATATCCACCTTTTTCAATTTTTTTTCATCAATTAATGTATACTGATCGTTTTATATGAATTTTATTCGAATAAATGTCAAAATACTAATCTTCACATCATATTCGCTACTTGGCTACATCGTTATTCTGAATTTTAGATGTAGTCTGAGCTACAATCATCATACTTGTATCTAAATAGCTTCCTGTATGTTTTATGAAAATTCGATTTCATTTTCCACACACTTAATTTAATCAATTATCTGTAACACGTCAGCTTAATAAATGTATATTTATTAATAATTCGATTTATATGCTACTATGTCACATCAATATTTCGATATTAGATGAAATTATATTCACTTCAAATTATAAACACTTCTAATTTTTTATTTATATGGTTCAAAGATAAAAAAACTTGGATTTCTGGAGTTTGACAGTTTAAAGTACTTCATTATTATTTTTCACAGAATCATTAACTCAATTTACTTTTTTGTGTATAACGATAGTGTATTTCTTCTTAACTATCATTATCGTAAAGTTCTTAGTGTTTTATTCAACATATGTTGTCGTATCCATGCACTGCATCTAATTATTAACTATCGATTTCATAGAAACTCACTTACATAAGTGTTTTTGCTCTATTGATTCCTGTATTATTAATTATACTTCCTAAGTAATAGCTATGATCAAGCATAAATTCAAATTATATAATTCAAATTGATGTTAAGCTTTCTAAGATAAGGAATTTTATGAAGAAATCAAATATATTTCCACTTTTAAAATGAAAACTAAACAGCTTAACATCAACAAATACAGTTTAAATAGTTGAAATCATGAGTCAATTGAAGCTAGACTACTATAAAAAACCTGGAAGAACTGGACGACCGTTTCGTCTTTGTATGGGACTCCTCAGAGGTACACATTCACAATCCCGCCCCCTCACGAGATTCAAATCCACGACCTATCAGTCTCGCGCGTGAGCGCTATACCACTAGACCACTGAGCTGGAATCCAATGGTGACTCATGATTTCAACTATTGAAATGACTAAAATCTCCACAAACCCCTTTTCAAAATACGATTTAGTTTAAAAACATTCTTTATTAAATTAATAATAGTTTATATAAAATATCATAGTTGAATATATTGCAAAATCGCCCATTTGTAAAAAAGACAAACGAAAAATAAGTACAACGTATTTTTGTGATTTGTCACTAATGATGATTCTAAATTTAGAATTTTCTATATGTTAATTGTTATAAATCACAAAATTAAATGGTTTAGTAAACCTTCAATTCATAATTGAAACCATGTAAAAGTATCAAATTTGAATTGATACTCATGATAAAAGTCATTATATTGAATAACTCACATTAACCTTTAAAATTATGATTTTGTAGTCAAGAAAAACAAAATTTATAAAATAGTTTGTATAGTTTATGAAACAATATGGTATTATGTTACATTGGTTTTAAAATTATGTTAGTAGGCTATTGTCTTAAAGTATTTATTGGATAAAAAAGAAACTATGATTTCACATGTTAATGAAGAAATAAGTTTTTGACAGTTTTTTTATATCGAAAAAAAGAGACAAAACTATGAATTATTATTATTAAGTAATCGTTTAAACAAAGTTTAATTCAGAAGAACTACTTTGAATGTAGTGACTTTTTTCTACATCAGTTAATTTTCACAACATTATACTATAATTAACACATTCTAATCAACTTTAAGAGACTTAAGCATTAAATAAAGTCACTTTGTACAAAGCGGTCCTCAAAATGAATGCCAAGCTGGCATTACTTATAGAATATTGATATATTGATTTTTATTACCTTAGCATTATGGTATACTATTACTGATTCTTGTAATCAAACGGACTGACATAGAATATGAACAAATTTTCTAACACATTCAACATTAAAAGAATGAATCACTGATAAATTTAAGAAATTATGAAAAATTCCTGTTCAGTTTAGAAGATGCTCTTAGAATAATATATCAGGAAGTTATTTTTCCGATAATACTTAGAGTCCAAATGAGTCTTAGTCTATTCAATGATAAAGTTGGACTACTTACTATCACATCAAAAAATGTAAGCAATAAAAAAGACCACTGATCAGATTATTTCTATGAATTTCTTTCTACCATATGATTGTAATTCATGTAGAATATAAAAAGACGTTCAATAAAATAAATTTTTAATCAGGTTTCCAAATTCAGTCAACAAACTAAAGTCTGGGGCTACGGAAAATTACTATAGGTAAGAAATATGCATATGTATTACTTTTGTTATTTTTTTAGCATTTAGTCTTGCACACTTTTATCTCTAACTGCTCAGTGTTTAGCAGTTGTATTCACGCAAAGAAATTATGCTCCTGTCCACTATAATGTATATAAATAATTATGTTTATATCAATCTGTGTATTTAATGTGTAAAATTTCAACATTTCTTTGTTGGTGATTAACAAGTTTCGTCGATAAAAAAAGTTATAATAGTCTTATGTTTTTCGGTACTCGGTGCATTCAGTCAAATCTCACAGTGAAGTTAATAATACACTAGATCAATATTCTGAATATTATCAATATTCATACACAATCTACCTGAGTATTTTAGCCAACTATAAACAGATATTTTTATTTACATTTTCGTTATTTGAATATATTTGATTGTAAATAATCATATGTTTATTAGCAACTGGTGAAATAGATAAATTTAATGTGTCTTTTTTCTTTCTTTGTTTCTTAATTATCATGTTAGTATTCTATTCGTCTATTTTTTTTGTTATTTTTCTTTCAAAAACAAAAACATTCTAGACATGTTTGGAAAGTAGTTTAGATCATATCAACCTTGAAGTGGATCGTTTACGAGATTGTATCAAATTATTAAATCCATAAACAGTATTGTGATAATTTAAAATAAAATTTTAAGAAAAGTACATAAATAAACAATTTTCTTTTTCTCTTTTTATATTACCATGCATAAATATATTCAAATATTTTAGCTTACATAATTGAATAGAGTAAATTTTAATTAAATGAAAAAGAAAGAGATATACTTAATTCAAATATGAATTGATCAAATTAATAAGCGGGAATTTCAAACTATGGATTAAATATAATTCTACATATAGACATTTTTTTACAAAAAAATATACTACTGACTAACAATATTCAAATACACATATCATTTTTTAAAAGAAAAAAACAAAACAGGTTTTTTCATAATTTTGTAATCAGAAACTTAAATAATAAATGTAATTTTCTTTAACGTCATTATTTCTTTTTTATTGAATATTAGTTGTTGAGCACCATTATTGTTATTTTATTTTGTCTATTTCGATTTTCTTCTCTCATTTGAAATAATCAATAATGAATAGAATTGATTTTTTAAAGTATGTTTTTTGGCTTTTCAATTTATTATCATTAAACAATTTTAGTATTTATGTATTAGTGTTCATAATTTCTGACAATTAATGAATGTATTGTGAGTATATTGGTTAATAAGTAAACACTTTTTTATTTGCCCGTTTGCTGAATTTATTTGAAAGTATACAGAATTCTATTTCTTGTTGATGACTATATTCATAACGGTTCTGAGATTAATTCTTATCAATGGTATAATAACAACTGAAGAACCAGTGAAAAATCGAAGATTGATTCAGTACTCATCAGTTATACACGCTTTCAAAGATTCAAATCTACAACTTTTAAACTTCATACTGGCCACAGTACTTATAGACTGCTGAATAAACCTGGCTAATGTTTTTCATTTTTGGTTGAGAATCCTCTGTAAACATTCATATTAAAGAACTGTTTTCGAAATGTATTTAATTCAAAGATTCAGCACAAAACAAATACTTGTATATCGGATAGGCGTATCTATTTCAAATACATTTCATTTGAAACAGTAAATAAACCAACTCATCCAGTTTGACAAACTATTAGAATCATATTTCAGTTTGTCACTTATCGTTAAATTTTGTCAGATTAGTAAGAATTAATAAACGTTGATATAATAATTCGATTTTGTAGTTAGGTGTTTACCTGGAATCTGTACTTTTGTGAGAAAGACAAATGTGATATTCTACAAAATAAAACAAATACGAAAATCCGTCATAATCTATATTTCAGTATTTTTGCCAAGAACATGGTATTTAATAATGTTTACCATAATTACTTATATTTATTATGTGATCATATTTTATGTTCACTGAACAATATTCGGTTTCAATTAGACAGATAGATGTATTTGACGAAAAAAGTCACAGTTACGGTGATAGGAAGGAAACTAGAATCTATTGTTTATAACTTCATAGTTTAAATAGATTTGAATATTTTATCTAACCACTACATGTTAAAGGTTGACTAATAAAGCCCAATAAAGTTTAAACTGACAACTGATGTTTGCAGTTATTCTATCGCTAATTTGACATAGCATATATTAATAGATTAACCACAAAATTTGAAAAATAACTTGTGGCAGTTACTTCATGTCCATACTTTTCAATTATTAATTTTATTCGCTGAAACCTGTGGTTCACTGATGTTACAAACGTCATATAGTTACGAGGAAAATTTACCTATAATGTTTAATGCTTGTATGATATTTATTGTGAATTTACATGTTCCAGAATCATCTTATAAATTAGAAGTTGTTTCACTTGCATAATGGATAAAAAACATTTTATTTGACTAGCTATTTTGCTGCAACATTTAATTCAACTGTTTTCACAGGTCAAGTATCATTTGGGTAAATATTTGATTGGTTCCAGTTTACTTCAGACTAAATTTTCGACACATTGTTCAAGTAAATTCTGCAAACAGATGCAAAGTGATTGTTATATGCTAATAATACGAACAATACAAATAACGGAACTATCTACAATGAAGAACTTATGTATAATATCTAAAGGTTTTTCTTCCTCAATTTTTTAAATACTTCAGAAGAGGTCATATCAATTATATTACATACTTTCAACAAAATGCTTATTCATAATACAAAATATACAGCTTTGTTTCACAAACCAACTGTTATACAAAACTTTCGAGAGTAATTAAGTTTTCGGAAGCAACAAAGCCTTAATCGACACTAAATATATTATAAATATTTTCAACATTTAGTCCTAACAGTCAATATACAATTCGAGATGTCAAGAAAGTAAGGGACTGGGACACGTAAACATTACCATCAAACTAACTGGATTAAAGGTAGCTGATCTGAGATACTTGAGCAAAATTCTATATCCGAATATGGATAGATTTACATATGTGTAGTTAAATAAGAACTAGATGAAATCTATTAATATCTATTAACTGAGGCCTCCAATAAATGAACAAAAAACTAAAGAATGGTAATGAAATCAAATATAAGAAAGTGATTTGACTTTCATGAGAAAATAAAAAGCAAATCGAAAAAAGATGTATAGAAAATGTCAACATGATCGACGATATTTTCAATACTAAATAAATGTGATAAAAATTTTGAAATTAAATAAATATGGTTATGAGCATTTATCATAATGTTTGAAAAGTATTCTCAAACCGTGGATCTAACTCCTATCACCCAAGTTAATTCCTTAATTCATCCTTTGTTTGGTCTATTATGTTAAATAATCATTTGTAAATGTCATACGAAACCTTCAAACTGTTGAACAATTTTAAATAGTAGCATGAATATATACTTCAAAAATATTATTAATATCTTTCCAATTATGATATATTTTCATGAAAATAATCCGATTTTATGGTGTTTCATAAATGATATACACACAGGGAAATTTGACATCTTGAAGTTGCAGAAATCATGGATTAACCTAAGTTAAACATCTACCGAAAGTCAGTAAGCACATGAAACCTGTTTCGTTCTAGTATGGGAATTCTTGATGTTGAACATTCACAACCTCACCGCGAACGCTTAATCTTTGTATAACTAAGCACGCAGTTGTGCACATGTCTAACTTCGACCAATTCGCAATATTGCTCAATCATCTATTATCTTCAAAGGATAAATGCTTTACTTTCGATATGTTTAAATTTCACAAGGACGGAATAAATGTTCAGTGTTTCCTCGTTTTTAGTGGACTTAAAACTTAACTTCATAGATTATCAGTTTTAATATTGAAATAAACTGTTCATATTTTCATAATACAGTGTCCTGAATACACCATGCTTTCTGTATTGTGAAATATTAATAAACATTGACACGTAATACCGATTCAGTGAACTTGTGTGACACATAAAAAGCTGTGGAATCACAGCATCGCTTGCACCACGAACCACTGAAACTTATGAATCTTTGAGTAGCTTTGTGATCTAGAAATATCTCTTCGTATTCGTGTAAAGTATGTTTGGTTTCACTCAATCAATCAATAATTTTGTTATGTTTTGTTTTCATTCACCTTCACCCAAAACCTAACTTGAAAGACACTTAAAGTAATCAGTTTCTACTGAAACTTATCCAACTATGATTTCGTTATCAGTAAAAACTGTAATATACCAACTGGCTAATATTAAACACCCAGTGAAAAGAAATAATATTGTTTAGCAATGGTTATGTGACAAGCATAATTAGTAAACGTCTGTTTATAGGACTGAACTAGGTTACTTTCATTCTGTCAAATAGTTTCGCATTAACAAACTACAATATAGCAAAAGAAATTCTGTGAGAAATTACGTTAATGCTACTGCATAAACGGAGTACGCTTTTTTCCATTCAGCTATTTACAATTAAGGAATCTTGAACTTTCTATCAAAACTTTAAAAGCAAATCTTGTATAACGAAATATCATTTCGACATTTATCAATCTTTAAGGTCAACATAATTTAAATGTAATAAACTGAAATAGTTTGAGAAAATTGAATGAAACTGCAATGATTGATTCGAGATATTACTGTAATGCTTAAATAGTGTTTTTAGTTCAATAATTAGAAAAATGTACAAATGTTCATTAAATCAAATAGCACAAGTATAATTTATTACAATTCATCTTTATAGCAATCGAATTTAGAAATACGCAATATGGATAGTTTAAAATGTAGTTCAAAAAAACTTAAATTTAATTTTCAGATGTGGTTGTGTGGAGATTTTAGAAATTTCACTAGTTGAAATCATGAGTCAATTGAAGCTAGACCACCATGGAAAACCTAGAAGCACTGGACGGCCGTTTCGTCCTAATATGAGACTCCTCAGCAGTGCGCAGTGTACAACCCCTTCCGATAATAGTAATCAACTGCTCACTAGTGACTGACTTCAACAGATACTACTGGAGTTCTAGTGAGAAGCCGTTACCAGTGGAGTTCGACCAAGTCTGTTGTAAGATATCAGCTCACTGAAGACAATGGTGTACGGTGGCGCAACTTCGTGGATTAGTTGAAGTTAGACATTAACACCGTTGGATGCCGGCTCAGTGGTCTAGTTGGTTAAGCGCCTAGCACGGGACTGAAAGGTTCTGTGTTCGAATCTCGCGGGGAGCGGGATCGTGGATGCGCACTGCCGAGGACTCCCATACTAGAAGGAAACGGCCATCTAGTGCTTCCAGATCTTCTATGGTGGTCTAGCTTCAATTGACTCATGATTTTAACTAGTTAAATTTAATTGTCAATTAGATTTTCATACGAAAGAACACATGAAACTAATCAGTTACAGTGAATTCTTATGAATTGAATAATTTCGAAGTATTGTGTTATTAAAATTATATAAAAAGCGAATTGAAATTTGAAATATTAGAAACTATTTAACGTAGTATTAAAAAACGGAAAATTACTTTATTGAACAACAAATGTATCATTTGTAGGTTATAAAGTTAATAACATCCTTGATAAGGAAAAGACAATTCAAACTTATGATTTTAGTTTAAAGATTATACTGACCTGATTATAAAGAAGATCAATCTCAT